AAAAATTAACATTCTGTCATTTACTCTCACTCATGTCGTTCCAAACCTAAATGACTTACTTTCATTTTTGCTAAACAAAAAAAAATAATATAGAAGTCATTTTTGGGTGAACTATTTCTTTAAGACAAACTAACCACTGAAACATAATTGGAAACTCCATTAAGTCTCCCGAGCTACCTCTGAGTAATAAAATGATCCTCTGGGTGGTGTGACATATGAGTGTCCTGGTGTTGGAATGAAAGACTGCAAACATTGAGATGGTTAAGCGTGCGGCGGATCACATTTCCTTTTGCGTATGTGTGTGTAAAATTACACCTACATCACACACACACACACACACCAGCAAAGACACTGAGAACAACAACGGTGTGGATATAAATAAGGGTGCCATTATTATAAATGTCATTCACTCTCCAGTAGGCAATGAAAAGATGTCCAAAAAGATTTATAATCCCTCAGGCTATGTGCTGAAGCACGTATGTTTTTGAGTTTCCACAGTTCAGGGTAAAATGTGACCATTGTTTGTTCGTTAAGACTCTTTACCTTAGATGACTTGCCCTATTAAAGCAGTGTTTTTTGAGAAAATGTTCATTAGTGATGTTTATTTAATGTTTTGTTTGTTTGTTTGTTTAATCAGGGATAATCATCATAAAGTTTTTTTATTTTTATTTCAGTCCTCATACACAATTTCACAATAATGATACATTATTTTACATAATAATTGAAAAAATGTAGCCTGAAGCCTTATTTTACTTACCCTTTTCTTTTTTATAAGAAGCGTCAATTCCACTACTAAATTCTAAATTTAACCTAAACTAAAAGATACAAAAACAAAACAGTTACTTAAAGGAATGAAAGTTTGCTGAAAATGTACTCACCCTCAGGCCATCTAAGCTGTGAATGAGTTTGTTTCTTCATTGAGAGTTCAAACTGCTTAAAAAACCTCACAATGATCCACATGACTCCAGTCCATCAGTTAACATCTTGTGAGTGAAAAGCTGCGTGTTTTTAAGAAACAAATCGATTAAGACATTTTAACTTTAAACCATCACTTCTGGCCAAATACAAGTTCATAATCCATAATGACACTTTCTCATGTAATGCAATATGCTAAACAGTCATTAAAACACAGAAAATCAATGTCAATCTCTAAACATGATGAAATGACAACACTAACAGTAACTAGTACCGCAATTCATTTATCATTTGCTGTTACTGCAAGAGCTCAGGCTTGAGCATGGATGGGTTTAACATTTTTAATGTTTATGCATTTTAAAGTTTGGTCTGTTACTGGTTTATGCTGGTCCTTAGCTGGTCATTTGCTGGTCCTAAACTGGTCTGAGCAGCTTAAGACCAGCACATGACCAGCATAAACCAGCAAAGGACCAGCTCAAACCAGCAAAGGACCAGCTCAAACCAGCAAAGTACCAGCTCAAACCAGCATCCCAGCTTCAAAACATACCTAACCAGCATATGCTGGTTTTTTCAACAGGGGTGATCGCATCTTTATAACTATTTTGTCAAACAAGGCCTTAACCAGGCATAACATCATACAGCAACAAGTGACAAAAGTGCTCTATTCCAGGTTCATTTTTTTTTGAATGGAATATAAAGTTAGTTGAAATTAGATTTATTGTATCCAAACAAACACAACAAGTGACCAGTGACAGGTCATTACAGCAGCTTATATATTTTTTCAGTAAGCACACAGTTTAAGTCACAAGTACTTACCAGTGTTGTTATTATCAACTAAAACTAAAACAATTCAAAATCATTTTCATTAACTGAAATAAGCTGAAATAAAATATAAATATTAGATGAAAAACAAAACAAAAAAAATTTAAAATGAGAAATAATTAATAAATTAATAAAAAATGAATAAATAAAATAATAAGTACTAAAATTACTAAAAATGACAGAAATATATTTCAGCTAAATAGAATTTTTTTTTAAAAAGTAATAAAAATAACCAAAGCACATAACAAAATTACTCAAATTAAACTGAAAACTGAAAAAACTGAAAAAGTAAACTAACTGTAATAGATCAATTTAAGTTGAAGTACTAAAATGGGTACAAATTCAATATAAATTAATTATTTATAATTAAATAAATAATTTATTATTATTATAAATTCTATCAAAACAAACTAAAAATGACAAATGCACTAAACCTAAAATGAAAATGAAAACTGAAAATATAAAAATATGTAAACTAACTGAAATCAATAAGTTTAAGTTGAAGCACCAAAATTACAAAAACGTATAAATAAAGGCTAAAAAAGAGAAAAACAAATAAAAAGTAATAAAAACTACCAAAGCACTTAAACTAAAATTAAAAAGAAAACCGAAAATATACAAATGATAGAAAGTATTAATAAATACTACAGTGGTACGTAAATAATTCTCAAATAGCACTGGTACTTCTTGAATCAGTTCCATCGCATGTGTGTTTTTTCTGCCATCAGTTTGTAGAAGTGGAGGGTCAGATCACCTCTCTGGTGGACCTGTACCCATCCCTCCTAAGGAAGGGATACCGGAGAGAAATCTTCATCGCTGTGATCTGCGTCATCAGTTACCTGCTGGGACTCACCATGGTCACTAAAGTAAGAGAGGGCGAGACAGAGGAGTGTGTTGTATTTATTCGGGGTGTTTGAATGCTGAATGTATGTCTGTCTCTCTCAGGGTGGCATGTACGTCTTCCAGCTGTTTGACTACTACGCCGCCAGCGGTGTGTGCCTTCTCTGGGTTGCATTCTTTGAATGTGTTGCAGTAGCCTGGGTTTACGGTAAGTGTTCACTAGTGCTCGACTTTTCTACTCCACCTCTATAATAAACTTATACAAAATCAGTCAATCATATTTTAATTCATTTGGTATTATATAAATAGATCATTTCTAGTTTTAAAGGATATTTTATAATAACTGAAGGCTTTTTATTTTAATTTAATTTAGTTTTTATTTATTTTTTATTGTAATTTTATTGAACTTTTTCTTCATTTTTCTCTTAATTATTTAAGAAAAACGTTAATTCAGACTTTAATACATGTATTTAAAAAAACTGTTAAAATCAGTGAATTTCTACTTTTTTAAGGAAATAAATATTTCGATCATATAATTCATTTGTATACTGATTTTTCAAAAAAAAACAATTTTTGAGGATTTTAATTCCTAATATATACACATTTTAAAATGTTTAAAGTTCAAAAATGTCCATTATATACACTACCATTCAAAAGTTTGGGGTCAATATGATTTTTTTTAAAGAAACTGATCATTTTATGCAGTAAGGATGCCATAAATGTATCAAAAATGACAGTAAAGACATTTATAATGTTACAAAAGATGTCTATTTCAAATAAATGCTCTTGGTGGAAATTAAATTGAAGTTTAATTTTCAATTGTAATAATATTTCACAATATTACTCTTTTAACTTTATTTTTGATCAAATAAGTGACTTTCAAAAGCATTAAAAAAATCTTACTGCCCCCAAATTTTTGAATGCTGGTGTATTAATATACATATGAACCTAAAATCATCATGTTGATACATAAAAGAGCTCATGGATGTTGTGCATCACATGGCCAGATACACAAATCATCAGAAAAATCACTGAGGTTTCAAGGTATTTGAGTGTGAATGTGACCATAAAAGAGTCATGTGATGAAACTACGGTGGCCGAGAAGTGCTAAACAAATCACAATTCTGAAAACAAAATAACAAATTACAAATGCAAATGCAAGCCTAAAAAACAAAATAACAATTCAGAAAGCACAACAACAATTCAGAAAACATTATAACAAGTCAGAAAACACAATGACAAATTCGAAAACAAAATAACAAGTCAGAAAACACAACGACAAATCAGAAAACAAATGAACAAGTCAGAAAACACAACGACAAATCAGATTATTGAAAATAAATGCCTTTACGATGTGATACGAGATTTGAAAAGGGAGGGAAAAAAAGTTTGGCAAAAGGTGGGATCGAACCCAGGTCGATCGCGTCAAAAAGCCAATGACAAGCGCTTACCCATCTGCGCCACTGGAACTGGTGTTTTACAGCCACTTTTAACTAAATGTAAATAGACACCTCGTATTTTTTATTCCATAGTAAGGGCAATTCATACAATACATTTAAACTGAGCTACTTTAATACCATCTCCGAACTTTCTACCACGACTCTGCTGTTCTTCGGCTGGTTCGTCCCTGTATACGTTGATTGACAGATGTCTCGTCCAGTCAGCGGTGAGTAATCCCAAACCAATGGTGCTGTCTCAAACTATACCTATCTCTTCCGGTTTGTCTGATTTGTCGTTGTGTTTTCTGACTTGTTAATTTGTTTTCGGATTTGTCGTTGTGTTTTCTGATTGTTATAATGTTTTCTGAATTGTTGTTGTGTTTTCTGAATTGTTATTTTGTTTTTTAGACTTGCATTTGTGTTTGTAATTTGTTATTTTGTTTTCAGAATTGTGATTTGTTTTGCACTTCTCGGCCACTGTATGAAACACTGTAAACAGTCATAAACACACACTATATGCACTATTATTAAACGGGTGTCTCTTCAAAAACTGTGGTCACTTGTGTTTACAGCATAAATCCTGAGCTCATTTGTAGCATCATGCCTCTTATGATCTTTGCATTAAGCTCATTAATGTTGCTCAATCAACAGTCTAAGAATGTCTGCGGAGATTAATCTTATATAATCTTATTTAGTCTTATATAATCACATCAGTCCTCGGGGCTTACTTCAGATCTCTATTTTTCATCCCGAGTGGCCCCACATGAAATCTGCATACTTTTCCTCATGTTTTCAGTGTTGATGGTTCGGAAAAACCCAACAAAAAAAGAAGGATCACAGCACAAATCTTGACTGCATGTGTGCGTTTGCAGGGGCTGATAATTTCTACGATGCTATAGAGGACATGATCGGCTACAGACCCAACAGCTGGATGAAATGGAGCTGGATGCTGATCACACCCGTCCTTTGTGTTGTACGTGTGCAAACACAATTCATGCTTGAGAAATATGGCCAGCAGCAATGGTTTGTGATTATTCCCATCTTTCCATTTCAGGGTTGTTTTGTCTTTTCATTGGTGAAATACAAGCCGCTCACCTATAACAAGTTTTACGAGTATCCTGATTGGTCCATTGGATTGGGTTGGGCTCTTGCGCTGGCTTCTATGATTTGCATCCCAATGATGGTCGTCATCAAAATCATCCAATCAGACGGCTCCCTGATAGAGGTGAGAAATTCATGAACTGCACGTAAAATACGTCAAACATACAAATTGGCATTTTGATCATATATTTTTTTTATTAGAAAAGTACAATATATCTGACATTAGGATGATTCTTAAGTTAGAGCAAAACTTGTCTAGACATTCTACATATAAAGAAGTATTTTATAGAAAAACAGTCATTTTAGATTTAAAGGATTATTATAATAATTTAAGGCTTTTTATTTTCATTTATTTTCATTTTCATTTTAACTTAAAAAAAAGTTAATTTAGACTTTTTTTTTTTACTTCCCCTCAATAGTAAATGTAAAAACAACTGTTAAAATCTGTGAATTCTAATTTTTTTTCTAAAATCATAAAAAAAAGAAGAAAAAAAAAAAGCAATCTATATGATTGACAAAATCTATTTTGTCAATCATATTTTAATTAATTTGGTATTGTATACACAGATAATTCTTAGAAAAACAGTAATTCTTGTTTTAAAGGTTTTTATTGTTTTATTCAATTTTAAAATTTTCTCTTATTTTTTTTTATAAAAAAGCGAATTCAGAATTATCTAAGCCCCCTCGATAATAAATGTGTAAAAAATGTTGAAGTCAGGGAATTTCTACTTTTTCATGAAAAGAAATTTGTCAATCATATATAAAAATTTTTGCTATTATATAAATAATATATGTATTGTATTGTATAAATAATTTAAAGAGGCATTCTAGTTTTAAAAGATACACATACACACATACACATATATATATATATATATTATTATTATTATTATTAT